AACCAAAAACTCTTTCACCCCCTTTCACGCTCTGCCCCCTTAAAAATTTCAAATGGCAAGGGGTATTGTGTAGCTTGTTTGAAAGGTCTTTCATTTTGATGTTTGATTTTTCAAAATCGGTCTATTGTTTTCAAGAAAATTAGAAAAATGTTCATCTTAACGGGGCTCCACAATTACGAAATCATGAGCACCATCTGCTGAGTTAACGGGGGGGGGTGAAAAGGAAACGAGGGTGGGCTGGTCTTAGATGATGTCGGCGCTACTCTAAAAGAGGAGAGGATGACTGCGGGTGCGTACCGAGGTCAATTTTTATAATAACAGAGTCGGATTTCGATTAGCGATCTAGTCTGTAAATCGTTTCCTATTTTGGTACTCAGCAAGTGATCATCTAGTATTGTCCTACCCTTGTTACTGTTCGTCGATATTGTGTTGTTGAATTGTTGTGCTGTACTCTTGTTGGTGTGATTGTTCTTAAGTGCCTTTTTTATCAAGATTGATAATGGAAAATAAAAGGTCATATGCGACAATTTTAATTACTAATGCAGTGAGTTTAATTCATGATGAGGACAACAATAGTGTGGAGCAGTTCAACTCTATAATCGCAAAATACATTGGGGTGAGCGAATAAATTATTGAAAGAAGAAGTCATACCATGGAAGACGTGCTGCAGCTGTAGTGAGCCACAATATCGAGCGACCAGTCTATGTGATCCAAATAAATTTGCGTTCTAAGCTTAGTCCAACCTCGCTTATCACTAAGATGGAACATAGACTCAACATAACAAACAATTCGGATAGCAATTCCAAAGAAAATTGATAGTTTTATGGCGAACTCTGTCAAAAACCTGACATGAACGACATTGATTTGCAGGTTGCTAAGCAAGAATTTTTAGGGAAACTTAGAAAAAGTGACGATGAGATTTTGCAGATCGAACAAGTCACAGGACTGTACTTTGTGGCGTCTTCATCGGAGGATAAGGTTGACAGCGTCTCGATTTGGTGAAGTTTGTAGAAGAAGGCAGACAACAAGCTGTGAAGTTCTAGTAAACTCCATCATATACCCAACCGAGTTTTCTAGTAAGGCAATAAAAAAAGGAAATACAAAAATCATTGGACATGGCAGTTCAATCTTGTGGTTTGCTTATTAATCGCACACATCCATTTCTGGTAGCATCACCTCCATCTACCTATTACAGTAGGCAAGACATGTACTTAATCCAGGTATGAACCTACCTGTTTATTGCTTTGCAAAAACTAAGTAACTGTTTCCTTTTATTTTGACCGCATAAGATATTTTTATGACCCTCGTACAATTGTTACCACATGACCCTTGTACACATAATTGTGTTTATTGACATGAAGAAACGAATTTGAATTTGAGTTTTTGAATTTATTTGAGGAAAGATATAAAATTATTTGAATACATTTTTTCTTAGTCGGCACGCCCCGTCGACGGCGTCGGTCGCGTCGCTTGGACAAAACAGTAAATGAATTTCGCCCAAAAACAGATTTGCACTTCACAGCTTACGTTTCATTTTTATTATCTCCAAATGAAACGCTTGCAACGTTCTAAAAACAAAGTCCACAGTGTGCCAGCGATCCACCTTTTCGATTTTATCCACTAGGATCTTTTTAAAATATCAAGAAGTTGATCACAAATAGTAAGCATTTCAACCCACCATAATTCTTGCGTGCTCTGATAGCACCCTAGGCAATTATGTCCTGCTTATATCCAGAAAAACATCACAAACTGCAGAACACAAATCGAAGGTAACGGCGAAATGGGTACATTTAACGGGTCATGAAATTCAAATGAAAATGCAGGTATAAAATCTACCAAATTATCATTCTCAAAAACATATTTCCTTGACATATCGATAATTTTAAAGTTCGACGCTAAATTCCCCTATACTTGACTGGAGTGATATCCGAATTTATTCTTCTCTACTGTCGGTAGTTGCGGATCTGTTGGCGCTTGGTGTCAAACCTATAGAGCAGGTATCGATTTTTTCAAATCGTGAGCACATTATTCGTCGGATTTTCGTTACTTAAATTTCCTTGTAATCACTGGGATCAGACGCTTCTTAATAATAGAACGTGTTTCATTGATTTCAACGAAATTTCAAAAGGGCTCCTATAGCACCCTGGGCAATTATCTTTTCAACATACTCTATGAATTTCATTTAAAAATATTGAAAAATGGAGTGTCAGTTTCGAAGCAGCTGAACCCTTGTAAATGGCTCGAAACTCACTGCGTCGGAGCCGCCTTAATTTGTTCAGACAGAAAACAAAAACACTCGAAAATATCACTGTTTATTTCAATAAGTGTTCAAAACGTTGCCCGTTAGTGGCCCAACAATGATATAGGTGATGTTCAAATTTCTGACGGACATTTTCAAAAACATGTGGAATATCATGGCAGCTTTCGATCCATACTTTCACGTTGGGAAATAAACACAATAGATTTCAAATGCCCCTATGGAAAACAGTCTAATGGCGTCAAATCAGGAGATTTAGCAGGCCATTCTATAGGCCCTCTTTGCCCTATCTATTCCATCTGGAAACTCGTCGTCTAGCTATTGCCGAACCGGAAGAACATAGCCAGGAGGAGCGCCGTCATGCTGGAAATATATTTCAGCCTCACCAACTATATCATCCTCTTCGATTTGGTTTTCAATGCTTTCAGTGATAAGCGGATTGGTGGTATTTTCCAACATATCCAAATAAATGTCTCCATTCAAATTTCCATTAATAAACAATGGCCCAATCACGTCGTTTCCTAAAATGCCTGCCCATACATTAATTTTTTGGGGTACAAAATCATGAGGATTTTTATTGCTCGAACTCCTGCAGTTATGCTTATTAACAAACCCATTTAACTCGTCTATCGAAATCATCTTCGGTTAACTCTTACAATAATTTCATTTTGAATGGATGAAATTTATGGAGTTTAGTAACTGTGTGCACAGAGCCTAATGAAATACCAACAATTTTGTGTGATGAAGTATTAGGATTTATTCCAAAATGACTCAAACTTCAACTTAAGCGGCTTCATCCAAAACTCTCCGATGATCACGTTTTTTAGTTACAACAGATCCAGTTTGAGTAAATTTAGTAAAAAGGTCCAAAACATACCTATGCGAAGTTATCTTTCCCGGATGTCTGGCGTTAAACGTGAGCACATTGATTTTGGGTACCATAAATTAGAATCATTTCCACTCTTTCGGTGTGTAAACCATTTTGGTAGTAAAATCTGAATCAATAAATTAATTTTCACTATCCCAAGATTGTCACAAAGGTAAATGACAGCAAATTAATTTCTTTATTTCCCTTAGCAACAAATAACTGAGCAGATAAAACAATAAATACAGCTCGCCCAGGATATCTGTGTTGATGAAAATAATGCGGAAAACGTTCGGGTTGTTATTTGGTTGTTGCCACGTCTAATCTTGCGAATTGCTGATCATGTTGGTAGTTTCCGTTTTAAATTATAAACGAATTGTAGATTTGGCATACCCTAACGGGCAACATTTTGAACACTTATTGAAATAAAAAGTGATATTTGCGTGTGTTTTTGTTTTCTGTCTAAATAAATAAAGATAAATAAAGATTTTTCTTATTTTCTCGAAAACGAATCGTCTGATTTTAAAAAGTCTAACGTCAAAATGAAGGACTTCGAAAGACCATTCAAACAAGTTATTACTCGATACCCCTTGTCGTTTAAAATTTTTAAGTGAATGACCCTGGGGGGCCGAGGGTGGAAAGGGGGTGAAGTGGTTTTTGGTTAAAAAGTTGTCCCCCTTTGTAATCTATTCGAATTCGTTCGGCATACCAGACTTATTCCCCAACCCAGCGACTGTGAAGTGTATCTCTATGCCGACGACACCGCATTAGTAGCCCAGTCATGTTCTAGTGACAGTCCATGACAGGCTGCAAGAATCGGTGGACGAGGTTTTAGAGTGGGCGAATCGGTGGCTAATCAAAATTAATTTTTCAAAGAATCAGGCTATCTATTTTACAAAAAAGAGCCGTGGTGCCCCGTCAGAGATTACTGTGGATGATGTTTCGATACCATGGGCTAACAAAGCCAAATACTTAGGTCTTACACTCGACAAGGGTATGACTTGACAGTCACACATTGAACAACTGAAAATTAAATTCCAAATTACGTTTCGGCAATTGTATCCTCTTTTATGTAAAACATCAAACTCGAGTTTGGTCAATAAGATTCGGATATACAAAACCATTATCAGACCTGCAATAACCTACGCATGTGCGGCTTGGTGCTTTTTAGCTAAGTCACATATGCGTAAACTACAATTTCTGCAGAGTAGAACTCTCAGAACAATAACTAATGCCCCATGGTATGTATCAAACGATACCATCCATAGAGATCTTGACATCCCCTACCTTAGGGATTTCATCATAGGTATGGCACAATGGCGCTACCAGCAAGCGGAATCGCACAGCAACCCTTTGTTGCGTGAAGCAATGGATTACACAGTCGAGGAGATACGCAAACATTCTAGGCCGCGACTCGCACTGTGAACAAAAATTAAATTTATGTTTAGACCTTTAAAAATTATAATTTTTAAAAACCAAAGACCCAAGATTCAGTTCAGGATAAGTCAAAAAATTTATATAGTACAATGTAACAGTTCTTAGACCTATCACACCTCAAATATTTACATAAAACAATTCCTTTTCTTTCTCTTCTCGCTCCTACTTCCTTTCTTTCTCCCTCTCCCCTTTTCCCTACAACTTGTCTGGTTTCTGGGCCACCAGACCTGACAGACTGACGACAGACACTGACATTCCAGTGACTATGACCTAAAGGCAAAGGTCCTCCGGACCGCCTTGAGAAGCAACGACGACTAGTACCAGACTTATTTAGAATTGTCAAGCTTATGAAGGTACCTTAACACCAAATGTCAAACGACTGATTTTTGTTGCCATATGGAAAAGATAGTTTTTTAAATTTTGACATATTTTTTATTTCAGCTTCCATTCGGATAAGGCGGGCGCTAAATGACTGTGAAGATGTACGACTGCGCTTCATGTTTGGCCAAGTACCTCTTGTGCGGTTTCAACTTCATCATATTTGTAAGTGTTTTTTTATTATTCTCTAGTTTAAGTATATCGAATCAAAATTAAGTTTGGTGATCAAAGTTCGACTATACAATATAGTTGTTACTATGAGAAGCTAGCTATTTACATATGTATATGCGACTTTCTAAGGTGCATCCTGCTAAGATGCAGCTCAAATATTTATTTTCCTCGCCCATAAGCTTTAAGCGACTGTGATATGTTTAGCAGAACTCAAACATGATCAAGAGATTTCACTTTGCTAGCGTTGGTAGCCTTTGGCCAAGTTGGAGTAAGAAGTGCGACGTGTGCGTGTTGTCCGTCCGATACGTATCAGTGAGCGCACTTGTATTTATATATATATATATACATACAAATATTTTTAAAACCTGCGGACGTTTAACCGTTCAAAAATTTTGGCCTCATTCAAAAATCACCAGGAAACCGAAAATCGCACAAAATAGGTCCACATCTTCCATCTGAGCTTCATACGTTAAAAGAAGGCTAGATTCTAGTTGAACTTCTTGGTTATTGGTAAATTTCACTTTCGTGTACATATTTGTATAAAATATTGATTCATCCTGAAAATTGTTCACTTCCTATTTCCGTGTCGCGTTTGACAGCCACCTTAATTGAACTTCAAATTGAACATGCAATTTATCGCACGATATCATCGCCGACATACGGCAACATGTGATTGATAAAATTACTTAAATACAGGCAGTGGAATGGTATATAGGGGACCTTAAATATGTAGGCAAACTTCTGCAAGTGCACCTCCGTTACAATCTTCCAAAATTCGAAACTTTTGATATTCCAAATGAAAAACTAGTGGCAAGTAGTCTGACTGTACAAATGCCAACCAACTGCGCCAGAAAATTTGATGAAGCAAAAATAAAAATTATGGAAAACACAAATTTATTTCAAAGATTTCAATTTTTTTAGAAGATGTCGGTTGTGTATAGACAATAATGGAGACCATTTCGAACACGTTCTTTCAAAGTTAGTTAAATTAAATTATATTCCACATTTGTCGGTAAATCGCCATAAAGAGAGGCTAAACACAATAGGTTCTGTACTTGTGGGTGGTAAGGATTCTATTGCGTTTCTTACGTTTATAGCATCACAACGAATGTGAAATGATACACTCATCGAAGCAAGCTGAAATTTTCAGGGTCTATTCTACATGGATTGAAATAGTTTTTACAATAAGATGAATAATGAAATACAACCTCAATTTTTTTGCCGCCCTCCAAAGTTGAGGGATGGAAGAGATTTTTCACAAAAAAAAAATGAATTTAAGATTTTTTGCGTTGATTTCTAATAAGCTCTGTTAAAAACTGACATAATCATTGCTAAAACTAACGATTTAGCTTTATTTAAAAAAACACAGCCCTAAACCTAATGGTTTAGTTGTAATTGCGATTGAAAGTTCATCATTTTTCGAAACTTCAAAAAATTGCTAATATCTCCTGAATTATAAAATTTCGGATCACACACATATAGGGGTTCATTACATATGTCCCTCTATCACCTGACTTCCATTGATCCACTACTAACTTTACACCCTGTATACTAACATCAATTTTTTACCTCTAAATTTTTTGTTGAAAAATGACCAGGATCCTTTGAAACTTCGTAAAATGAAGTTTAAACGATTTATATTTCATTCGTTTTTGGCATTTTTCTCTGCCGCCACGGGGTCGATGTTCTTGTTTCTATCCTTGGTATAGTTGTACCCTTGCGTAAAAATTTCATCCAAGTCCGAGGAGTACTTTTTAAGCTATAGACAGTAACATCCAAAAACATATCTCATTTTCAAGACATTTCGCAGTTACAATACAGGTACATCCAGTAGGCGTGGGAAGCAAGATAGATCAAACCTACACAAAAGACTCAAATGAAATCAAAACTTAGAATTGTTCACTTCACATATCATATATATCGAAAATATCTACATTTCAAACTATGGAAAATAAATTATATTTTAGTTTCATGACAAATAATGTATATGTGACTATAATGTCTAAGAGGTGCTTTGTATTACCGGCATCAAAAGATTTTATTTAATAGAAAGTCTTTGTCCGACACCAAAGATGCAACATCAATCAACTTCCAACCCCCAATTTCCAATCTCTTCAAAAAACTGAAGATGACCATTAGACTCTAAAACATGGTAAAACGAATTTTTTTTGTAGTAGAGTTGCCGCCTCTAGATCAATTTCTAAAATCCATAAAGCTTTTTCATCCTTAGCCTAGTAGTGACCTTGGTTCAAAATTTTATGAAAAACCGAGTGGTACATTTCAAGTTATAGAGTGGCCAGGGATTAACAGACAAACAGACCGACGGAAATGAGCAATTGCAACACTTCTCCATCAATTGGCGCGAGAATTGAAAATTATGCAAAATGTCTCATCAGTTACAGCTAAAGGTATATGCTCATTATGTCCCCATTATACTGTACGACTGGTCCTTGATGCCTCTTGTATCACATGAGTCGATCAAACAGCTTAGGTGTGGAAAAATTAAAAGTGAGTTATTTAGAAAAAAGAACTTCGAGGCCCTGTTGCTTAATACTGGAATAACGAAGTAAAGTACTAAATGGATTTTTTGTTCATTTTGATGAAATATACTACCTAGTGAAAATTTTTATTTATAAAAAACATTACAAAACTTTTGAAAAAAATTATAAAATAAAAGCACATTAAACAAATATAAGTAGACATTTTTTAATATGTATATCAAACATATCTCACTTAAAAAGTCCGTTTGACTTATTTTGATTACACGAGGTATAAAGCTATGACTGCTCCATTATGTATTTTAATTCATTTCAATATAGCCGCAAGAAGCTATTTTAAGAAGCAAGAAAGAGGATATCAATAACGAAAGTTTATATGAAATTATCCATCCGATATCCATTTGTCGCATCATGAAGGAAAGTAACGTTTCTGTGCATTAACCGAATAAAAAATTTGAAACACAATAGACTTTAAAAGCCGTCACTGGCCTTAGTTAGAAAGTGACACGCGTTTTATCTTGCGTTGTGTAACGCATAGCAAAATGCTTTTTATATCGTTCGTTCGATTTTATGCAGAACTTGTTCCTAGTATCAACTGGTGGCCTTTCATACGAGAAAAATCTACACCATACATTATGCATTATGCCTGAGCAATTATTCGCAAGACAATTTTTCGAAACACCAGGGTCGCCCTAATGGTAGGCTATATGAGGAGTGACAGGTTTTTGAAATTCTGAAATTAGACCGTGATACCATGCAAATTCTTTAGCTAATAAACAAGGTTGACTGCAATTGAATGAAATGAATAGTGTAGTGTCTTGACGTTGGTTTAAACTTCTGCTGTACTTTGTTCTTTGAATGATTAACCATGGAAAGTAAATGGAATGCGTAGATTTATGAAAACATCGCCAATTTTATCATTTATACAGGCTCAAACATAATTACAATTTTATATTGTCATCCTCAAAATAACTTCCTTCTAAAGCCACACAGCGCTACTCCTCATATCAGAGCTGGAATTCCGAAACTGGAATTGCCTTCAGCTGGTGGATTACAGCCGTTTGAATGTTTTCGACTGTCCCAAAATTAATCCCCAACTTAGGGACGAGAAAAAAGTCACAAGGACTCAAGTCAGTCGAGTATGGAAGCTGAGGTGCCACGGAAGAGTTTTGAATGGACAAAAATATGTTTACTCTCATTGTGTGTGTGACAAGGAGCATTATCGTGATACAACACCCAGTTGAAGGGTTGAACCACAGCACCTGGACTCTTGACAAAACACGATCTCCGTAAAGGACTGCTGAAGTCTAACAAGAGCTTCCGTTGCACTGTACCCAAGTACGAAGCAAGCCTGATAGCACACCGTTGCTCGAAATTGATGTCATTCATTTCTAGAGAACACAATAAGGAAAAATGGTCACACAAGAAAATCGCTACTGACAACCAAAAGACTCGAGCGAGAGTACTGAAAGCGGATGGAATGTTCCCCTGTCCCCCTCCAATCCCGGCGTCTCCAGTATTGCCAGATCGAACGCTACGTTGCCAGTCTCGTCACTTAATTTATAGATCTCGTAGATAGGCCATATGCCGAATATTCTGCGTGTTTCCCGGTCAAATAGCCGAATATTAGGCAAAAGCATTCGGCCGGTGTGTGGCGCCAAAACTTTTATCGTCAGGATTGTTTCACGCTGATTTGTTCTAATCTACCCACCACCCTTCCTCGCTGCATTGCAACGCCATTAGAAATCGGTACTATAAAATTACAACAGTCTCAGATTTAAGGAAAGAGTCGCATTGGCGCTTCCAACGGGGGATAAAGAGGGTAATTACCCCCCTCCCTCCGACCAAAAAAATAATTGCACCCAAAAATTATCACATTGCCAAATTCAACAATAAAGTTCAGTTCCATTTTCGAAAAGGCCTTGGACCATTTCACTATGTCAATTCCCTACCGGAACACCCTGTATACACTGTAAACCAGAATACAGTTCCAACACATACTCTCAATATGCTCTCATACATAAAGGCTGTAGCTAGTTTTCAGGAATTAACTATTAGGAACTATAAATGTTCTTACAAGATATAATAAATAATATTTCTTATAGTTTTTGAAAACTACACCGAATTTTAAGCAACTTTATGTTTTACGAATAGAAAGTTGTTCTTTAATAATTATGAGTAACGTGAATGTGTGGGATACACTGAGGCCATCTATTTCGTCTAATTTAGCTAATTTCGGTATTGTTGACAGTTGTTGTCGGTATGATTTAAAGGAGACACTTCACTTCACTGTCCTTTATAAACAGAAATTTTGCCCGATCTACCGACAGAAAACGTACTGAAAAAAGAATGAATCAAAGACAGAAAACTTATGGTCGAATGCAGGATATGGATATGGTGGATCAACTACCAATTGCGACACACTTAAACGTCAACTTCAACCTTCCAGATGTAATTTTGTTGACAATGAGCCATTTGCTGGACCAAGTGTTCAAC